TAGATCCCATTTGTCTATTTTGGTTGTTGTTGCCAGTGCTTTTGATGTTTTAGTCATGAAGTCCTTGCCTAAGCCTATGTCCTGAATGGTTTTGCCTAGGTTTTCTTCTAGGGTTTTTATGGTTTTAGGTCTTATGATTAAGTCTTTAATCCATCTGGAGTGAATTTTAGTGTAAGGTGTCAGGAAGGGGTCCAGTTTCTGCTTTCTGCACATGGCTAGCCAGTTTTCCCAACTCCTTTTATTAAACAGGGAACCCTTTCCCCATTGCTTGTTTTTGTCAGGTTTGTCAAAGATCGGATGGTTGTAGATGTGTTGTGTTGCCTTCGAGGCCTCTGTTTTGGTACCAGTACCATAGTGTTTTGATTACTGTAGCCTTGTAGTATAGTTTGAAGTCTGGTAGTGTGATGCTTCCAGCTTTGTTCTTTTTGCTTAGAATTGACTTGGCTATGTGGGTTCTCTTTTGGTTGCATGTAAAGTTTAAGGTGGTCTTTTTTTCCAATTCTGTGAAGGAGGTCAATGGTAGCTTGATGGGGTTAGCACTGAATCTGTAAATTACTTTGGGCAGTATGGCCATTTTCACAATATAATTCTTCCTAACCATAAGCATGGAATGTTTCTACATCTGTTTGTGTCCTCTCTTATTTCGTTGAACAGCGCTTTGTAGTTCTCCTTGAAGGGGTCCTTTACATCCTTTGTTAGTTGTATTCCTAGGTATTTTATTCTCTTTGTAGCAATTGTGAATGGCAGTTCATTCTTGATTTGGCTCTCTTTAAGTCTGTTATTGGTGTACAGGAGTGCTTGTGATTTTTGCACACTGATTTTATATCCTGAGACTTTGCTGAAGTTGCTTATCAGTTTCAGAAGATTTTGGGCTGAAACTATGGGGTCTTCTAAATATACAATCATGTCGTCTGCAAATAGAGACAATTTGACTTCCTCCTTTCCTAATTGAATACCCTTTATTTCTTTTTCTTGCCTGATTGCTCTGGCTAGAACTTCCAATATTATATTGAATAGGAGTGGTGAGAGAGGGCATCCTTGTCTAGTGCCAGATTTCAAAGGGAATGCTTCCAGTTTTTGCCCATTCAGTATGATATCGGCTGTGGGTTTGTTTTGAATAAAAATAATAATAGCTTTTATTATTTTCCTTTCTATGTTTAGTGCTTCTTTCATGAGCTCTTTTAAAGCTGGCCTGGTGGTCATGAAATCTCTGAGCAATTGCTTGTTCATAAAGCATTTTATTTCTCCTTCATTTATGAAGCTTAGTTTGGCTGGATATGAAATTCTAGGTTGCAAGTTCTTTTCTTTAAGGGTGTTGACTATTGGCCCCCACTCTCTTCTGGCTTGTAGGGTTTCTGCTGAGAGATGTGATGTGAGTCTGATGGGCTTCCCTTTGTGGGTATCCTGACCTGTCTCTCTGGCTGCCCTTAGCATTTTTTCCTTCATTTCAACCCTGGTGAATCTGACAACTATGTACCTTGGTGTTGCTCTTCTTGAGGAATATCTTTGTGGTGTTCTTTGTATTTCCTGGACTTGAATATTGGCCTGCCTTGCTAGGTTGAAGAAGTTCTCCTGGATAATATCCTGAAGAGTGTTTTCCAACTTGGATTCATTCTCTCCATCACATTCAGGTACATCTATCAAACGTAGATTAGGTCTTTTCACATAATCCCATATTTCTTGAAGGTTTTGTTCATTTGTTTTTACTCTTTTTTTCTCTAATCTTGCCTTCTTGTTTTATTTCATTGAGTTGATCTTCAATCTCTGGTATTCTTTCTTCTGCTTGGTCGATTCTGCTGTTGAAACTTGTGTATGCTTTGCAAAGTTTTCGTTTTGTGTTTTTCAGCTCCATCAATTCATTTATATTCCTCTCTAAGCTGTTTATTCTCGTTTGCATTTTGTCAAACCTTTTTTCAATGTTCATAGTTTCTTTGCATTGGGTTAGAAGGTGTTCTTTTAGTTCAGAGAAGTTTGTTATTACCTACCTTCTGAAGCCTGTTTCTGCCAATTCATCAGACTCATTCTCCATCCAGCCTTGTTCCCTTGCTGGTGAGGAGTTGTGATCCCTTCAAGGACTAGAGGCATTCTGGTTTTGCATGTTTTCATCCTTTTTTAGCTGGTTTCTTTTCATCTTTGTGTATTTATCTACCTGTGGTTTTTGTAGTTGGTGACTTTCAGATAGGGTCTCTTAGTGGACTTCCTTTTTGTGGATGATGAAATTATTTCTTTCTGTTTTTTAGTTTTCCCTGTAACAGTCAGGCCCTTCTGTTGTAGGACTGCTGGAGGTCCACTCCAGACCCTTCTTGCCTGGGGATCACCTGCAGCAGCTGCAGAACAGTAAGGGTTGCTGCCAGTTTCTTCTTCTGTGATATTTGTCCCAGAAGGATACCCATTAGATGTTAGCCTCAAGTCTCCTTTATGAGGTGTCTCTTTGGATATATGGGGGTTGGAGAGCTTCTTGAGGAGACAGCCTTTCCATTATAGGAGCTCAAGTGCTGAGCTGTGAGCTCCTTTGTTCTGTTCAGAGCTGCTGGGCAAGTACGTTTAAGTCTGCTGCAGCAGAACTCATAACCACTTTTTTTTCTCAGGTGCTCTGTCCTGGGAAGGTAGGGCTTTATTTGTAAGTTCTTCTTGTGCTGCTGCCTTTTTTCTGAGATGCCCTGGCCTGCAAAGAGGTAGCCTCATCACAGTGTGCCAGCAGAGGTGTTGCTGAGCTGCTGTGGGCTCTGCCCAGCTGCTGTGTGAACTTTCTTGTAGTTTTGTTTATAGGGGTGTAGTTAGAACTGCCTCGGTAATGGCGGTCTGCCTCAGTAATGGCGGACTGTCTCTGTAATTGCAGACTGCCTTGGTAATGGCGGACTGCCTGGGTAATGGTGGACTACCTCGGTAATGGCGGACTGCCTTCGTAGTGGTGGATTGCCTTGGTAATGGCGGATGCCCTTCTTCCCACAGAGCTGGACCTTCCCTGGTCCAGCTGTGTTTGCTGTGAAACTCTCAATCCAGAGCGTTTCAGATTGCTTTTCTTTGTAGAGGTGGGACTGGCTGAGCCAGATCACCTTTCTCCTTGTTTCAGCCCTCTTTTTTTCAGTTGAACAGGTGATTCTGTCTCACAGGCATTCCAGTCTTCAGTTGAAACAGTGCCTGGATTCGTGTGAGTTTTTGCACAGAGACTGGTTGCACTGGCTGAAACAGCTGCACTGGAGACTCATGGCGCTTTTTCACCTGGGAATCTTCTGGTCTGTGGGCAGTAAAAATTCATCTGGAAATGCAGTGATCACTCACCCTCTGCGTTTTCACTGGGAACTGCAATCCAGAGCTAATCCTATTTGGCCCTCTTGGATCAAAATCCAAATGTCTTCTTTTGAGAAGCTTCTGTTCATGTCCTTTGCCCACTTTTTAATTTTTTTTTTTTGATAAATTTGTTTAAGTTCCTTATAAATGCTGGATATTAGACCTTTGTAAGATGTATAATTTAAAAAAAATTACTCCCATTCTTTAGGTTATTTGTTGAATTAATGATAGTTTATTTTGCTGTGCAGAGCTCTTTAATTAGACGTCATTTGTCAATTTTTGCCTTTGTTGCAGTTGCTTTTGGCATCTTCATCATGAAATCTTTGCCTGTGCCTATGTCCTGAATAGTACTGCCAAGGTTTTCTTCTAGGGTTTTTATAATTTTGGGTTTTACATTGAAGCCTACAATCCATCTTGAGTTGATTTTTATATATGGTGTAAGGAAGGAGTCCAGTTTTCGGATTTTCTACATATGGCTAGCCAGTTCTCCTTGCACCATTTCTTAAATAGGGAATCCTTTTCCCATTGTTTATTTTTGTCATGTTTGTTGAATATCAGATGGTTGTAGTTGTGCGGTCTTATTTCTGGGTTCTCTATTCTGTTCCATTGGTCTATGTGTTTGTTTATGTACCAGTACTGTGCTGTTTTGATTACTGTTGCCCTGTAGTAGAGTTTGAAGTCAGGGAGTGTGATGCCTCCAGCATTGTTCTTTTTGCATAGGATTTCCTTGGCTGTTCAGATTCTTTTTTGGTTCCATATTAATTTTAAAATCTTTTAGTCTAATTCTGTAAATTCTGATGCTTGATGGGGAATACAATTGAATCTATAAATTACTTTGGACAGTATGGCCATTTTCACAACATTGATTCTTCCTATTCGTATGGAATGATTTTTCATTTGTTTGTGTCATCTCTTATTTCTTTTAGCAGTGCTTTGTAGTTCTCCTTGAAGAGGTCCTTCACTTCCCTGTTAGCTGTATTCCTAGGTATTTTATTCTCATGTGGTAATTGCAATGAGAGTTCATTTGTGATTTGGCTCTCTACTTGTCTGTTGGTGGTGTATGGGAATGGTAGTGATTTTTGCACAGTGATTTTGTAACCTAAGACTTTGCTCAAGTTGCTTATCAGCTTAAGGTACTTTTGGGCCTAGACAGTGGGGTTTTCTAGATATGCAATCATGTTACTGTAAGAGAAGAGAGTTTGACTTCCTCTCTTCCTATTTGAATAAGCTTTATTTCTTTTTCTTGCCTGATTGCCCTGATCAGAACTTCCAATACTATGTTGAATAGGAGTGGTAAGAGAGGGCATCCTTGTCTTGTGCCAGTTTTTAAGAGGAATGCCTCCAGCTCTTGCCCATTCAATATCTTGGATGTGAGTTTGTCATATATGGTTCTTATTATTTAGAGGTATGTTCCTTCGACACTTAGTTTATTGAGAACTTTTTACATGAAAGGATGTTGAATTTTACCATAGGCCTTTTCTGCATCTGTTCAGATAATCATTTTTTGTTTGTTTGTTTTTTAGTTCTGTTTATGTGGTAAGCCACATTTATTGATTTGTGTATGTTTAATGAATCTTGCATTTCAGGGACGAAGCCTACTTGATTATGGTAGAAAGCTTTTTGCTGTGCTGCTGGATTGAGTTTTCTAGTATTTTGTTGAGGACTTTTTGCATCAATGTTTATCATGGATATTGGCCTGAAGTTTTCTGTTTGTTATATCTCTGCAAGGTGTTAGTGTCAGGGTGATGTTGGTTTCATAGAATGAGTTATGGGGGAGTCTCTTCTTTTCAATTGTTTACAATAGTTTCAGTAGGAATGGTACCAGCTCTTCTTTGTACCTCTGGTAGAACTCAGCTGTGAATCCATCTGGTTGTGGACTTTTTATTGTTTGATAGGCTATTCATTACTGATTTGATTTCAGAGCTTGTTGTTAATTTGTTCAGGGATTCAATATCTTCCTGGTTCAGTTTTGGGAGGGTGTATGTGTCCAAGTATTTGTCCATTTCTTTTTTCTTTTCTTTTTTTTTTTTTTTTTTGAGACAGAGTTTCACTCTTGTTACCCAGGCTGGAGTGCAATGGCGCGATCTCGGCTCACTGCAACCTCCGCTTCCTGGGTTCAGGGCAATTCTTCTGCCTCAACCTCCTCAGTAGCTGGGATTACAGGCACATGCCACCATGCCCAGCTAATGTTTTGTATTTTTAGTAGAGACGGGGTTTCACCATGTTGACCAGGATGGTCTCAATTTCTTGACCTCGTGATCCACCTGCCTCAGCCTTCCAAAGTGCTGGGATTACAGGCTTGAGCCACTGTCCATTTCTTCTAGTTTTTGAATTTATGTGCATAGAGGTGTTCATAACATTCTCTCATGGTTGTTTTTATTTCTGTGGGGTCAGTGGTAATATTCTCTATGTCATTTCTGATTGTGTTTATTTGAATTTTCTCTCTTTTCTTTTTTATTAGTCTATTTAGCAGTCTATTTTATTAATTTTTTCAGAAAATTAGCTTCTGGATTTTTGATCTTTTGAATGGTTTTTTATGTCTTGATCTCCTTTAGTTCAGCTCTGCTTTTGGTTATTTCTTGTCTTCTGCTAGCTTTGGTATCTGTTTACTCTTGGTTTCCTAGTTCTTTTCGTTGTGATGTTAGGTTGTTAATTTTAGATATTTCTAACATTTTGATGTGAAAATTTATGCTGTAAGTTTCCCTCTTAACACTGCATTAACTGTTTTCTAGAGATTTTGGTATGTTGCATTAAAAAAAAATTTTTTTTTTGATGGAGTCTCACTCTTTCACCAGGCTGGAGTGCAGTGGTGCAATCTGAGCTCACTGCAACCTCTGCCTCCTGGGTTCAAGTGATTCTCCTGCTTCAGCCTCCCAAGTAGCTGGGACTACAGGCATGTGCCAACACACCCAGCTAATTTTTGTATTTTTAGTAGAGACAGGGTTTCACCATATTGGCCAAGATGGCCTCGATCTCCTGACCTTGTTATCCACCTGTCTTGGCCACCCAAAGTGCTGGGATTACAGGCATGAGCCACCGTGCCCAGCTGCAGTTTTATTCTCATTAGTTTCAAGATTTCTGCCTTTATTTTATTATTTACCCAAAAGTTATTTAGGAGCAGGTTATTCAATTTTCATGGTTTGTGTGTGTGTGTGTGTGTGTGTGTGTGTGTGTGTGTGTGTGTGTGTGTGTGTTGTATTAGTTTGTTCTCATGCTGCTATGAAGAAATATCACAGACTGGGTAATTTGTAGAGAAAAGAGGTTTAATTGACTCACACTTCCACATGGCTACGGAGGCCTCAGAAAACTTACCATGACAGAAGGGAAAGCAGGCATGTTCTTTTTCACAAGGTGGCAGGAGAGAGACGTACCAGCAGGGGAAATGCCAGATGCTTATAAGACCATCGGATCTCCTGAGAACTCACTCACTATCATGAGAACAGCATGGAGGATACTGTCCCCATGATCCAATCACCTCCCACTAGGTTCCTCCCATGATAGGCGGGGATTATGGGAACTACAATTCAAGATGATATTTGGGTGGGGGCACAGCCAAACCATATTGTGTGGGTTTGAATTAACTTCTTAATCTTGATTTCTAATTTGAGAAATCAAGGTCTGAGAAATTGTTCACTATGATTTCAATTCTTTTACATTTGCTAAGGAGTTTTTACCTCTGATTTTGTGACCCATTTTAGAGTAAGTGCTGTGTGGTAATGAGGAGAAGAATGTATATTTCATTGTTTTGGGGTTTAGAGTTCTGCAGATGTCTGTCAGTTCCACTTGATCCACAGTTTAGTTCAGGACCTGAATATTTTTGTTAATTTTCTGTCTTGATGATCTCGATATTAGACAATATTGTCAGTGGGGTGTTAAAGTCTCCCACTATTATTCTGTGGGAGTCTAAGTCTCTTTGAAGGTCTCTAAGAACTTGTTTTATGAATCTGGGTACTCCAATTTGGGTGCATATATAAAAAGCTAACTATATTTAGGATAGTTAGCTTTTCTTGTTGAATTGAACCTTTTACCATTGTTTAATATCCTTCTTTGTCTTTTTTGATTTAAAGTCTTTTTTTTTTTTCAGATACTAGGATTGCAATCCCTGCTTTTTTCTGTTTTTGATTTGCTTGTTAATTTTCCTTCACCCTTTTATTTTTACCCTATATGTGTTTTTGCATATGAGATGGGCCTCTTGAAGACAGCATATCAATGGGTCTTGGTCCTTTATCCAGCTTTTTTACTTTGTGTCTTTTAATTGGGGCATTTAAGGTTAGTGCTGTTATGTGTGGATTGGATCCTGTGATCATGATGCTAGCTAGCTATTTTGCAGACTTGTTTACGTAGTTGCTTTATAATATCACTGATCTGTATATGTTAGTGGCAATGGTTTTTCCTTTTTATAATTAGTGCTTCCTTCAGGAACTTTTGTAAAGTAGGTCTGGTGGTAACAAATTCTCTCGGGATTTGCTTTTCTGAAAAGGATTTTATTTTTTCTCTTATGAAGCTTCATCTGGCTGGATATGTAATCTTGCACTGGAATTTCTTTTTCTTAAAAATGTTGACTATTGGCCCCCAATCTCTTCTGACTTGTATGGTTTCTGCTGAGAGGTCCACTGTTAGTCTGATGGGCTTCCCTTTGTAGATGACCTGCCCTTTCTTTCCAGTGACCTTTAACATTTTTTATTTTATTTCGCCCTTGGAGGGTCTGATGATTACATGTGTTGGGGATGATCTTGTGGAGTATGTTACTGGAGTTCTCTACATTTCCTAAATTTGAATGTTGGCCTCTGTAGGTAGCTTGGGGAAGTTCTCCTGGATGATATCCTGAATTATGTTTTCCAAAATGGTTCCATTCTTTTCATCTCTTTCAGGTATCCCAATCAGTCATAGATTCAGTCTCTTTATATAATCCTATATTTCTTTGAGGTTTTGTTTATTCATTTTGTTTCTTTTTCCTCTATTTTTGTCTGCCTCTGTTATTTCACAATGACAGTCTTCAAGCTCTGAGATTCTTTCCTCTGCTTGGTCTATTGTACTATTAAAACTTGTAATTGCATTGTGGAGTTCTTGTAATATGTTTTTCAGCTCTATCCAGTTGATTATATTCTTCTCTATACAGGTATTTTGGCTTTCAGCTCCTGCATTGTTTTATCATGATTCTTAGCTTCCTTACATTGGGTTGTAATGTGCTCCTTTGGCTCAGTGGAGTTCATTTTTTAAATCCACATTCGGAAGCCTATTTCTGTCATTTCAGCCATCTTGGTCTCAGCCCAGTTCTGAATCCTTGCTAGAGAGGTGTCGTGGTCATTTAGAGGAAAGGGAGCACACTGAATTTTTGAGTTTTCAGTGTTTTTGTGCTGGTTATTTCTCATCTTTGTTGGCTTATCTACTTTTGATCTTTGAGGTTGTTGACCTTTGAATGAGTTTTTGTTGTTGTTCTTGTTGGTGTTTTGCTTGGTTTTTCTTTGAATAGTGTGGCCACTTTTCTGTAGGGCTGCTATGGTTTGCTGGGCAGCTGTTTCAGACCCTCGTCACCTCAGTTTTTTTCAGTACTTAGAGATATTACCAGTGAAGGCGGTGAAACAGCAAAGATGGCAGCCTTCCCCTTCCTCTGGGAGCTCTGTCTCAGAGAAGCACTGATCTGTTGCTGGCCTGAATGCTCCTGTAGGATGTGGCTGGACACCCTGTTTGGGAGGTCTCACCCAGTCAGTAGGAATGAGATCAGAGACCTCCTTAAAGAAGTAGTCCTCTTGCATTTTTGTAGAGCAGCTGTGCTGTGTTTGGGTTCCCTTCACCCCCACATAGGGCCTTTCCAAGGCCCACAGGCTAGACTGCCTGAAATGCCCAAACAGCAAAGGTGGCAGCCCGCCCTGTTCCCTGGATTCAGAACCGGGCTGAGACCAAGATGGCTGAAATGACAGAAATAGGCTTCCGAATGTGGATTTAAAAAATGAACTCCACTGAGCCAAAGGAGCACATTACAACCCAATGTAAGGAAGCTAAGAATCATGATAAAACAATGCAGGAGCTGAAAGCCAAAATACCTGTATAGAGAATTTCCAGGAGAAATTAGAACTCTCTCAGGCATAGAACATGGGTGGGGGTGGTTGAAGGCCCTGTTTGGGAGGACCTGTCCAGCAAGGAGGATTGCATTGGGGTCCCATTTAAAGAAGCAGTCTGGCCACCCATTGACAAAACAGCCATGCTTTGCTGGGGATCCACCTCTACTTCTCTTGGCTTGGACTCTCCAAAGCCTGCAGGGTGGAATGACCAAGTTACCCAAACAACAGCAAAGTTGGCAGCCCACTCCACCCCACCCCACTGGTCACTCCATCCCAGAGAGAGATCAGAGCTCTTTCCTAGAATATGGGTAGGGTTGGCTGTAGGCCCCCACTGGGAATTCCTGCCCAGTGATGAGGAATGGATTGGGGTCCAACTTAAAGAAGCAGTCTGGCCACATTTTCATGAAGCATCTGTGCTGTGCTGGGGGTCCCTTTCTTGTCCAGATTCTGTGGACTCACCAAATCACACAGACTTGAATGGCTGAGTTTTCCAAATAACAAAGGTGGCACCCCATCCCTTGACTCCATTCCCTCTCAGGAAGGCACTACCCTGTTGGTGGTGGCTGGCTGGAGTTCCAAGCAAGTGGGTTGGATCTTGCGAGGTGCCTTGGAAGTAAGGCCTATAGATGGATGCTGTTCAGCTCCCCTTGATTCGGCCCCCTTCCTAGGGGTATATGTGGACCTCTCACCTTGACTGCATTGCAGTCACCTTTCCTGGGAATCCTGTGGCAGTGGTATATAAATCTCCTGGGTCTCTGTGGTTGCTTGAGTGGCTACCCTGCTGAGACTCCACACAGCTCTGTGTGTCAGACCCAAGGCCCTGGTGGAGTGGGTTTATGAGGGCATCTCCTGACCTGAAGGTTGCAAGACCCACGGGAGAAACATGATTTCCCAGGGTGGCACATTCACTCACCACTTCCCTTGGCTGGGGGTGGGGGGTTCC